TTTCTAAACCTATTAAAAATATTGTTGAATTAATTTAGATCAATTTTTTATAATAAGAATTAGGTTATGCTAAAATATCCTTATTATTTATAAGCTGATACGACATCTAATTTTAGACACCCGAAAAAGAAATTCGATTCCCAACTTATTCCCTCCACATTATTTACAATTCAAAGGAAATTACATTTTCTTTGAAGGGAATAGTCTTATAAATTCCTATATATAAATAAAACAAAATCCAATTCGATCCGATTTATATTCACTCTGCTTCACATTTTCATTTCACGCCGTAATTCGTAAAGATTAGGATTACCATTTCATATCCAAGACAATATATACAAAAATCTGAATTTCTCGAAACATGTTTTTCAAACAACCCTTGGTTTTATTGGCATCTGCTGCTGCGCTCACTCTCTCCCAGAGTACTCAAACTATTCAAGGTTATTCACCTGCTGGAATGAATGGAAATACTCTCTTAGTCTCTCAAGGTCAATACCCAGTACCTGATTTTAGTGCTCTTACACAATTAAGCGATTATAACCCATTGCTTTATACTAGTGATAACATCACCGAATCTGGGTGGACTTTGGATAGTTTGTCCTACCTCAAAACATTAAAATTCGATGCTACAAAGATAGGTTGTTTAAGCTGTGTTATTTCTAGCACCGTCCAAATTGTCAATGGACTTGGTAGTTGCTGTGGTGGATGGTGCATGGATCCAGAAGAGTGTTGTTTCTACAATGTTGCTTGTGGATATTGGTATGGATGTATCCCAAAAAAATGTAGACCCACAAGACCCACTAAAATTTCTAGTCCCTCCTCTACAAAAACTTCCACTTCGACCAGCGCCTCAACCAAAAGCTCATCAAACACAAGCTCGTCAGTCACAAGTTCATCAACCAAAAGTTCATCAACCACAAGCTCATCAATCACAAGCACTAGCACTTCCCCTTCAAGCACTTCATCGAGTTCCTATTCGACTTCAGAAACAAGGACCTATGATATTGTTCCACTTTAATGAAGTTTAACGTTCTTAAGATTATTTGATTTTTATAAAGGCCTTTAAAATCAATAAAAATTCAAAACTGGTAATTCCATATAAATTTTCTTTTGTCTTTAAGGTTGATATTCTATCTCTAGTCGGAAATGGGTATCGTACTTTTTTAACAGTTTAAATATTATTAGTAATTCAATACCTATTATTTTGAAATTTAGATATCTAAATATTCGAAAAATTATACACACTTTTTGATAATGAGGTTATTATCTAGAAATGATATATTATTATATATTAGACAATGATTTTTGCAAAACTTTTGAATTTCCGTCAAAATTGATCTACCCAGATGAATTGGAAAAAAACATCGATTGTACAACTTTTCTGTTTGAGGTAGTTATAAAGTTTCTTGGGTCATACATCTAAATTTCTTCAATGCGAGGAAATCTACCACATAGATCAGATACAGACATCCAAATAAAATGTTGAAAAAACTAAATATTATTTGCGACTAAAAATGACACTTATTTCTAGCAAAAAAAAAGAGGCAAACTTGACACTAATTTCTGACAAGAGATAGTATAATTTTTAGTATTGTTCTGGTTTAGATCATATGCTAACTTTCATTTCATATGTTTCTTTCAATATGATTTTGTTAACTAGTCGTATATTTTGAGAATTCAGAAAAATTTATGTTTTCTCTATTCCACAACAAACAAACTCTTTGATGGGAGCTTAAAGCTTCCGTTTCCCAGCTCCATGCAAGCAGGGATCTTTCTCGAGTCAATATGATGTTGGATACAGCACCATATTTCATTCTAGTAGTCGCGTCTAGAGCCAGTATCATTAATGATATTGTAGCTCAACACGTCCTCTCGAACCAACGCTCAGTGATGGGTAGAGAGCCTCTAGAGTGGTGGAGTGGTGTTGGTTGATTGGTGTTGTGATCAGTATTTTTTAAAATTGGTTTTTTATTATGGGTATCGATAATATATTCAATAAACCAAATTTGTGGGTAATAAAACGATCAATATAGTAAGCATGTCATTAATCTTTTCTTAAGGTAACAATAACTCTGCAGTCCTCGGTTATAGAAACTGGAGTGCGTGTAATGTAAACTTTATCTTTGAGCAAAAGTGGTTGATTGTTTCTTTCAGGATCAAGAACGTTTGGACCATATTTTGAGTCATTGGGAAGTTTCAATTCAAAATCTCTGACCAAATTTGGAATAACAGTAAGCATTTCCATCCATGCCAAATTTCTGCCAAGACAGATTCTAACACCATACGAAAAAGCAATGACTTCCTTCTTCAATTTGTCTCCATCTGGGCCCAAGAATCTTTCTGGTATGTATGAATCTGGAGATTCCCAAACTGAAGTGTCATAGTGTGAACCTTCAATAAACATGGCCATATCAACACCCTTTGGAATGTAGTGTCCTGAAAGCTCGACATCATCAGTACCATTCTCTCTGAACAAAACTCCACTTACAGCAGCTTTAATTCTCATGCACTCGTATATGGTTGCCATAAAGTATGGGAGTTTGCTACGGGCTTCTTGGTATCTGATAGTTTTGGATCTGTCAGGAAAAGTTGTTCTTATTTCATCTTTAACCTTTGCGTAAACGTCAGGGTAAACCATGTATATGAATAATAACCAAGTCATTGTGACACTGGTGGTATCAATTCCGGCAATCAACATTACAGCCATCTCTGCTGCAAGTTGATTGTTGGTAAGTGGTTTGTTAGTATTGTTGTTGATAGCAGTAATAAGCATTTGTAGGATATCTACTCTGTTGCTTTCATAAGTATTATTTGCAATTTGATCCTTTCTTCTGTTTATAGCTTCCAATGTTATTTTTTGTATTCTTAGACGTTTTTTTATTAGACCGACCATAAGGTATCTGAATGGTCTCAAAGGTGGATAAGCTTGTATCTATATCATTTGGAAATAATATACATTAATAAGGGTATTAAAGAGAGATGCAATAAAGTTGTGAATATGAGATTATACTTACTGTGGTTGCAAACTGTATTGTAGAGTTTACTAAATTAGTGATCTCATGACCCTCACTTTTAAGGGCATCAAACGTCTTTCCAAACGCAAGCTCGCCAATAACATCAGCTGCAATACATTGGAAAAGATTGAAGTAGTTGAACTCGCCAACACCATCACCATTTTCAATAATATCGAGTAGTTTCGCTTTCAAGCTATGAGTTCCAATATCAAGGACCAAATCCTCAACAGTGTCTAGACTGGTAAAAGTGAATGCAGGACCTATTTGACGCCTTCTCATTCTGTTGAAATCTTCATCCACAGTAGTAAATAAACTGGGTGCATTATGCACAGGCGCAAGATATTCTTTGCTTTTGGGATATCTGTAGCTTGCAAGAACGAGTTTTATATCCTTTGACTTTGTAACCGAAATCTGGTTTGGCGCTATTAAAATTACGAAATATTGATACACTACTGATAGAAACAGATATAGAATTGAATGGTGCCTCACCAACTCTGACAACAGGACCATATTTATCATGAAGTTTGGCTGAGTATCTAGAAATTTCTCCATTGATTCTAGTCAAAGCATATGGAATTCCTGTGAAGCGAGACCACCATGGCCCTGGAACCTTTTTCAGGGGATCGAAAAACGCATAGTATACTGTCTAAATAAATAGATAACAAAATTTTAGAGAAAGTTAAGGGAGAAAGAATTTTTACTAACCTTGTAAATACCATAAGCAACAAGGAATCTGTAAAAGTTCTTTGAGTTGCAGTAGCTTTTTACCAGATGGTGGTAAACTTTGGTCAAAGAAAGTACAGTAGTATCCATTGTGAAGTAATAATAAGACGGATATTTGGGGAATTTGGTTGTTTTATATCAGCTTGAAAATGATTTCTGATATTTTGAAACCAAATAATTTTGAAAAATCAAGTTTTTGGGATGATTGTTCGATGATTATTGAATGAAAATATTAATTTATCTAATTTATATAGGTATAATTGGTGATTATAAAACGCAGAATAACAAAAAAAAGAAGTGTTTACAAAACCAGAAACCAGCGAATAAAAAAGAGCTGACATTGTATTTCTTTTACATAACTTGAGGTAAATGCGATCTATCAAACCAAACTAGGATATATACTTTGAAATGCAACCAAAACCTATTGAAAGTTTTATATTGTTTTCTGTTTTATTTAAGGATATATTATCTAATCTATTCGTCTTTTTGGTATCACGCATGATTTTTTAGCCTATATATTTTATTTGTACAAAATCGGTTTGGTTGGGCAAAATCTCGTAGAAATTCAGAATACGAAAATTTTGTAACAAATTGAATTTAGTTTTTAAATTCCAAAGGTAAAATTTTTTTAGCTGCTTTGGAATACCAACAATTTCGCTATTTTATGGTTAATAACAAGCTCTACCTTTATAATCCACTTCAGGTTTTGAGCTATATCTTGTTAAAACTATTTAACAAAAAAAGTTGGAGTGATAGCTCAGTGGTAGAGCTTTCGACTGCAGATCGAATGGTCCCGGGTTCAACTCCCGGTCGCTCCTAGGTGACTTGCCCGAGTGGTCCAAGGGGTCAGGTTTAGGCCCTGATATGGAAACATGCGTGGGTTCGAACCCCACAGTCATCAATCATTTTTTGTATTGTTAGATAAAATTGAATTGGCGAGTCTATTAGCCTATTTTTATAACAAGTTTTATCAATAGAAAAAGTGTATACAGTTTAACATTTTTGGTAGATAATATTTTACTTGAGATTTCATTTTAATCTGGTGTACTTGTTCTTTTATAATTTTTTTAACTAAATAACAAGGCAATTGTAAAGAAATATAAAATATTGTAAGACATTCATTTTCCAACAATTTGTAAATGTGTGTGAAAAAAGTGTTAAACATTGTGTAGTATTACATAGAGTAGCTTGTAGAACAAGTATGTTGATGTATATTACTATTATCTTGATTGTGTGTATTTATTTTTTCAATTATATTTTGACAAGGAAAACAAACTTTTCATTTTTGTAAATTTGTTTTTTATTGTGATTTGTAAGAATTCTATTCGCTTGTTCTCTTGCATTTAATTGTTTATTATCCACATCCAACTTTTTTCACCTTTCAATCATTTTCAAATCAGTTTCAAAATGGCACAAGGTATTGGAATGCTCATTGTTTACGTCGCCGGATGGGGACTAGTATTTGGAACTTTTGTTCATTACTATCATAAAAGAAAGGCACTAGGTATGTCATTCGAACTATATACAAATTACTTATTCTCGTTTTAGCATTGAAAAATCTCGAGTCATATTTTCCAGAACACAAAACTAGAGATGTATACTACCAATTGGTTACGCTTCAATCTGAGAATCCAAGTGCAGTTTCAACACCAATGCTGCAATCAGCTTTGATTAGACGTGCAGTAGATGATGTTCTGCGTGCAGTTAGTTTACAAACCAACAAGAGTAGTCTACAATCTTTGGTGAATTCGGGTGCTATACCGCAAGATTTGTTGCATCAATTTAACTCAGCAGAGGCAGAATTAGAGACAGAGATGTTAGCAGTAAAACAAGAAGCAGATTCTTTGGTTGAAGGTATGGGCGAATGGATATTTCAGGTTGGTTCTGAAGTTTTGAGTAATGCTCGTCAGCGTGAACTTCGTGAACAGATATTGAAACTCGAAGTGGAAAACCTGAACTGCATTGGTAAACTTGGGAAAGTTGAAGGTGCTGATTACAACAAAGTCAACAAGATTCAAGATTCTGAACGCGAAAAAATCATTTCAGAGCTTATTGACGAAGAAGCCTCCAAGAAACAGTTGAGGAACAGAAACAAAACAAAATCAAAGAAGTAAAATCCAATAACTCTTTTCATTCATATTAACAAAAGTTTATATTTTTTTGGACAAGTTTGTTCCACCTCAATAAGAGAAACTATATATTTTTCATGTTGAAAGAATATTGGCAAAAAAAAAAGAAAAGTGAATGATTCGTTGTAATCTTTCATTAATTGTTGACCAATAGATAGGTTGAATTTGGTCCCCATAACTATAGTAACTTTTTTAAAAATCATAAAAGACCTTTGCTTGAAAATTGAAACACTATTCTTGCGCTCGGGTATATCTGCACCAGTGAAGTACCTACTGAGGTCAGATTATTGCTAATTGCAAACTATACCAATAACCCCGCTATACGACTCCAAAGTCGGATAGCAATATTTGGAAAAGCTGCCTTTAGTCTTTGACTAATCGTGGCTTAAAACATATTCAGCAAAAACCAGCCATATTAACTATATATAAAGATTTCATGTTTGATAAAAGGAGAATATTTGTTGCTTAAAACTAAGAATTATACTTGGATACTAGCGAGAAAATAAAAATAACAATTGTATAATTTAAAGGAGTTATTAACCTTTATTCTAATACACTTAGATGATGTATTTGAAATTCATAATATACATGAGATTTCTAATCTCCATCAGGTTACTCGTCTAGTTCTTGAATTCTAACTTGAATTAATCAGAAACATTAGTATATTTGTGATATTATTGCGTAATTTAGGGAGGGATTTGGATTCATGCGTTTGAAGTGGGAATTGTTTATAGTTTGTATTTTTCGATATTGTTGTATTGTGCCAAAATAGAAATCCTGAGACTAGTTGTACTTAATCACCACTATCAATATCAGGAATTTGAATGGAAAATTGCATAGTGTAGGTACATTTTTAACTTATTGTTCAAAAAGAATAATTCTATAATACAAAGTTGGCAAAAATGGGGTAAATATTTGTTTACTTTTTATGTGTTTTTGTTTAAAAACCTACCTTCAAATAAAAAATCGAATAACAAATGTAGTTGATTTATTTTAGTTTAATAATCTTATTTCAACATTGGTTTGTGTAGATTTAATTTGTAAATCAATAAAAGCATAAAATACCAATTCTGAAAATGGTTTAAATTGACTGAAAAGGTTGATAAAAAAGCGATTGATTCCTTTATGGATATGTAATATATATCAAGATAACCCTTTTAATTTAGGTGGTGTTACGAATTATGGGCTACCAAATATTAAAAAAACCTAATTGCTACAATTTCAAAAAAACAGATACCCCTGATTTGAGTAAACGTATTTTTTAACCCTTAACCTTTCAAATATCCTTTTAAGTGTTTTCGAATTTTTGAATAGAAACTTTTTTTTGGAGTAGTTTAAACCAGCCAAAAATAAAAATTGGAGGATATTTTGGCTTTGATGGAAATATCTCCATATAAAAGAATTGAAGACAATTTTGAAAACTAAAATGGGGAAAAGAATCTTACAAATTTAATTTAAATATTTTCCAATCAAAATTAAGAAATTTAACTGTTTAAATAAAATTATTGAATAAAGAATGAACATTTTCAGTTATATAAAACCATTCTTTTATTGGATAAAGGATGTACTATTTAGTATTTAGAAACCAAGAATTATACGAACATTATTAGTTTAATTAGATTACATAATACTTTAAGTTATACTTTCAATAAAAAGTAATGTGATATATTTGACACAACCAACCTCTAG